TTTTTTTTTGAAATGAGGAAAATTAGCAGACGAACACTGATATGTTGTATTTTTACATTATCACATTACACTACTTTGTTAATTTTGCAAATTTTCAGGATGGTGATAAGCACATCAGCAGTAGCAGCAGTCGACGTCGGGCACATTCTCGTTCACGTTCGGGCAGTCACAGCAGACGCCATAAATCCCGGAAAATATCGCCAACTGATAGTGAACGCAGCGATCTCAAAAAGTACCCCTTGCGAACCACTTTTGCATTAATTTTGAATTTCTGTTTTTGATAAAAAAAACACACTTGACTTAAATTTGGTTGAACTGTTCGGTATTTTGTCGGCGGATTCCGGAAGTAGAAGTTTCTTCGCTGGTTTTGCGCCACTCCTACCCTGCTTACCCTTTGTATCTTTAAAAACAGCGAAGGGAGGTACAAATAGCAAATTTCTTCGCCTAACACAGCGGTCTCTGGCTGAAATTTCTGATCCATTACTTCGCTATAGTTCCTGATGCATTGCCCTTTACTGAAGAATTTTCATTCAAGGCAGTACTTTCAATCTCTACACTCGCAACTCTCCCGTGATGCAGCTCATACTTAGGAAGAGGGGGAAGGGTTGGAGGTCTTCCTTTCAGGAATGGTTGTGGAAAAGAAATTTGAAAAAATTCAGCGAATTTTGATGATGATAATGGGAAATTTAGGCAGCGGCACCGCTCATCGAGTAGCAGCGTGTCAACGAGAAGCAGCAGCAGTGGTACTTCTTCGGAAAGCAGCTATTCGAATGCTTCTGAAAGCCACACACGGAAAGCTTTCAGATCACGATCACCAAGCAGGTAGATTTGATTGCTGTTTTGAGCCACGTAATTTGTATGCCAACATGCACTGCTGTTACTGGATTGACTGGTTTTTCAGGGGTCGCGACTCGGATGATAGCGAGGAGCAAAGGGAACGAAGAGCGCTGCGTAAACAGGTCGTTTCTTTAAAAAAAAAAAAACTTTTTTTATTCCATTAACCTGTTTAAAAAAACTGTAGGAAGCAGATTTTTAGCGTTCTGTATGATTGAATTCTGTTTAAGATTCGAGAAAAAGAAGTTGCATATGCAGAAAGGCTGCGAAAGTGGGAAGCTCGAGAAAGACGGCAAGCGAAACTGTATGACAGAGATGAGCAGCGAGAGAAGCAGCGAAAACGAGATATGCAAAAAGAAGCCAAAAAATTGAAGCATTTTCTGGAAGATTACGATGATGAACGAATGGATCAGAAATATTACAAGTATTTTGCCTTTTTCAAAAATTGTTTCCAGCTCTGTGCTTTTTTAATAGTAAATTTTTTCCCTTTGAGATTTTAATGAGAAAATGACAAGAAATTAGGGAAATTTGAGTTTTTTTGAAGCGGTATTACTCGCATTTTCATAAAACAGCAATTGTTATCAAATTTCTTTCTATAGTTTTTTTTGCAGAAGTTCCTCATTATTCCAACGTCGACGTGATTTTGAACGGGAACGTGAAGCGGATGCCAAAGATCGACAACGTGAGCAACAGGAAATCGAGGAGCTCAAGACACAAATATTGGCTGAAAATTCCACTATTGAAAATGTAGAGGAGGAAGCTAGGAAACGACATGAGGAACAGGTCTAGTGCATCTGACGATCTTTGATTTACATCTCTCTCGCTTGCACAGGGTTGGAAATGTTAACTGACATTTCTTGTTGGATAAGCGAAACTGTTTTACAGGAGGAAGCGCTGCTACGAAAAATACGAGCTGATTCCGGAAGCCCAAATCCGCATCGCCCACTAGGACAAAAACCGTTACCGCCGGAGCCGGAAAAGGACGAAGAGAGTGAAGAATCGGAAAGTGACTCTGAAAGTGAGGGAACTGTTGAGGAGCCGATCAAAGCTGAAAAACCTGTTGAGAAGCAAAGCAGCTGGAAAGCTGGTAAGTTTGAAGAAAAAAAAAAAAAACAACGCTGCCCAGTTATTTTTTGATATGGAAAATTTAAACACCTACTCTTGAACAAGGAGCTGTTGAAGTTTATATTACGTTCTGTGATAAATCTGTAAGAAATTTATCAAAAATGTTGATTTTGGAAGAAGGATGTGCGGTTCTGAAACATTTTTTTTTCCATAATATTTAGAAATTAACTGAAATCTAATCCTTTAAATTTAAACTTTATGGT